TCTGCATTTTCGTCCACCTCTTTTTTTAGGTTGACACTTACTTTTGCTACCGATTCTAATACTAGTGGTTCGGCAACTGCTAAACTAGTGGTGTCCGCAATCAACTTGGGCTTACTATTTTTAACAGACACAAGTATTCGCCGATGTTCGCTTGTCTTGGTTTCACAAATGGGGCTTGGGGGTTTGATGGGTATAATATTTAAATCTGGTATCACATTTTGTTCCGCTTCTAATTTTGGTATCACATCTGAACTGGACTTTAAACCAAAGTTGGCAATTACTTCGGAAATAACGGGTGTCACATCCTTTTTTTGATTTTCAGGTATCACATTTTCAGGAATAACAGAGGCAGGATTGTTTGTAGGTTCGACCATGGGACTAACAATTTCGTTTTTATTAAAGGGTCTAACATCTACTGGGACTAACACATTCTCTCTGGGACTAACTGCTCGGGACTAACAAGTCTTGTTAGACCTTTGGCTTGAGCTCTTAGTTGAGACATTAATTTTCTTTGATATTCTCGTTTTTTTTCTTTATCTTTATAAGGCATAGTGTATAGGTTGGGCTAACATGGCTTAGCACCCACAAGGAGAGCAGTTGATTTTTGTTCTTTTTCCCAGTACCAATGATTAAAGGAATCTTTTTCGCTAGTCAATTGCTTTTTCCTAAATTCTAGCCATTTGTTTCAAGTTTCACAAATTCCGCACGAGATTCCCAAATCGACACAAACCTTTTTATAGGCTGGCCTTTTGAGATGATGCTGGTGATAATCGTAAGCCATGCTGCGGTACTCTTCCGAAGTCAGATAAGCGTGAGAGTACCCTTTGGCTCAAGAGTCAGCTTTACAATATAAATGACCATAACCGTTTTTGTTAAGATCGGCCTGATAGGCGGATACTGTTTCATAATCTCCGTAACCAATTCCGTTTTTAACTTTTAATCCGCAACGGGCACAAAAGAAACTTACGCCCCGGAACTGGTGGTATTCTCATTTCCAAAATCGGTATTTTTCGGAGTCGGGAATTTGCCGGAGAGCTTCCTGCCACGGCTTCCCATTGATATCTAGCTTGCTGAGGTTAAGAATGATTTTCTTCATAATTTTTTAAAATGTTGGTTCACTAGGCCTTTTTTGGGCGATTTTTTTAGTTTCTTTCAAGCTGATTTGCAAGCCTTTTAGTTCTAGATAGTATCAATCTAACGTCTTTTTAACCAAATTTAGTATTTGTTTTTTAATCTGTTTTTGCTTCATATTTAGTATTATAAAGTGTTTATTTTAGCAATCTTGCGAGTAAAAAAATTAGATAAAATTGCTAGTAAATTCGCTTGTTAATTCGTATCCAGAAAACAACCTCTCGATTTTTTTAAATTGCTTTAACAATTTTGGTCCGGAGAGGAAATTAAAATTAAATCGGGTTTAATCATTTCTTGAAAAGCCGGACGCATATTTTTTCAAGCGACCACTTCGACTTCAAAAGGCAAATTAGACTCCTCAAACTCTTCTTTGATAAGTGAAACGGTGCTTAACGGAATGTCTTCCTGATAACAAATATCCAGGTCCGATAAACGCCGGGCTTCACCTTTAACTCGCGAACCGTAAGCATAAAAAGAGTAAGGGTATTTTCGCAAAATGTTGTGAATAATCTCTCAGTGTCTTGGTTCCAGTTGAAGCATGATTTATTAAAGTTTTTCCAAGTTGGCTATTAATAAATTAAGATCATTTAAAAATTGGGGTAAAATAGGGACAACTTTCTCCATAATGTTTTTCTCGTATTCGTGAGTAGTAATATTTCTTTTATCGACATAATCACATCAGATTTCGGCATCTGGAATTAAGCCTTCTAAACCCGCCGCTCGAAAAACTTTCTTAGGGCTAAGAAGAAACTCTACCCCTCGCATAGTCAAAATTTTCTTACAAGTTTTTCAAGTTAATTCAAAACAAACTTCAAAGGCTTGAACTAGACCGGCAATCTCAAATTCATTCAGTGCTTCTCTCTTTAATCCTTTTTGTAAGAAATCTCGAGTAAATATTAAAGGTTCGATATCTAACTTTCCATTTAAAATAAATTTAGGCATAATATGTTTTATTTTTTAGTTCGCAACAAACTCAATAATCCTTCCTGGGGTCAATTTCTTTCACTGCATCCGACATACTTATCTTGCAGAATTTCTTGGGCTTGGTCTAATAAATTAGTAATTTTTTGATAAAAATGGTGATCTCGGTTTGAAGTTTCTGTTTGTTTATCCAAAAGACTAACTTTCCCCAAGATAATTCACAGATCTAATTCTAAATTTTTAATTTTTTTACTTTTCTTCATAATTTTCTAAACTTTCCAGTAAAGCAGGTATAGTTTCTTCAACCTCACCAAAGACCAGCATATCTTTCAAGGCCTTAAAATTGTCCTCGATATTAGTAAATATCTTCGTTAGTTCAGGCCTTAACTTCTTGCTGGCAAATATTTCTCAGTTCCGTTAGGCACTTCTTAATTTGAGTTAAGTAGTCAGCACCGGAAGCAATTAAGGTAATTAATTCTTC